TTATTGTTTTCTTTTACTATTATTATTGTTATTATTATATATGAAACTATTAGGGAACAAAAACTTCAAATTTTAACAATTAACTTTGGGAAAATATTTATCGATCCAAAATTTGAAATTTACAGTTTCTGAATTTTGAACGGAGTTGAAATATATATTAGATTTCTAATTTTCGATTCAATTTTTATTTTCCGAAACTACGTTCGAGCTTTAATAATACCGTTTCGACTTCAAATGTGATTTTGATCATTTTTTATTCCAAATTTTGCAAACCCAAAAAATAGGATTTGTAGTATTATGAGTTAGTTTTCTAATCCAACTTGAACCACCAAACTTTGATGTCGGACGAGAAAGATATACATGAATCAATGGATATTGCCCACAACTTTGATGTATTGAGGTATCTAAAATTCAAAATGTGACTCATTCATGCATAACGTTGTCACACGGCATCCAATCTAGCAGATTTAAGTTGAATTATAAAACTAACCCAAAGGACTACAGTTTTTGTGTTTTAAATTTTGCCAAAATCAAAATAGAAATATGTCAAAATCAGGTTCAAAGTCAAAACGGTATTAGTAATATTGAAACGACATTTAACATTTCAATTATAATATCCATGTAATTTATACTACGGGTGACTAAAAAACTGGAAATTTCGAATTTCATCAATTCCGATTTGAAAATTTCTGATTTTGGAATTAAATTGGACAAAGAGAAATGGAGCAGTGTAGATGATTTAGAAAGCCTAAAACCTCCCTGAAAGTATGATTCTTTCAGTAATTTCGCAACATTAGAAACTCCGTACCTAAAAATCACAAATAAGCACATCGGTAACAAAAATCGATTTCTACCGCACCCGAGGCAGAGGCTAACAAGAGTCAAAATCACCTCAGAGTAAGTACCGAAAAAGGATAATGAAACTCTCGGAGTTAGAATTCAAAAAGACGAAGCTCGACCATCCCTTCTTTTCGTTTTGGAGAATACCATGCTACCACCTTACCAGAACCGAGGACCCTCAGCGAGTAATTCAAGCTGTATATCAGATCTTCTATGTGGGGTCCACGTTTGCCAGAACTTGAGTCGATGGCAATCTTGGAATCTACTCGAAAAACAATTGGCCCAGCAACCTGCACCAACATATATAAGTATATACATGCAATGCAATATAGAGAGATCAAAGATGCATCGATTTTCACCATTTCGCAATCACGAATTAAAAAAAAATATATCAGATTAAAAAGAAGGGTTTATTGCATTTAGCTCACCTGCTGATGGAAAATTAAATTAAGTCTGGGGGAAGCGAGTTCGTTTCTTGATGGATTATTTTGTGCAGTCTTGAAAAGGTTGATGGTCTTTTTGGCTAAAGCAGAAGCTGAACTGACGTCGAAACGAGCATCTACCCTTGTGAGGTCTCCGTATAAATTTCTGAATTGTCCATGTTGGAAAGTATAGCATAGTGAACCAAATAGATCGGCACCAAAACGACCTCTATCTTTAGTCCCGGAAGAACTCTCGCCTTGTCGTGGATCAACAGATACTATACCTCTGCCACCAAATAACCATGCCTCACAAGTACCCCCTAAATTTAAAAACATTACTCATCAAGAAATAGGTCAAACCAAAAACGTGCAGCTGCAAAAATTAATATTACTATTAGACCTCATTTAGAAGACCAAATAACCTAATGAGAAACTAATTGTACTATTGGACCATGGGAGGTCTAAAATTTCCAAAAAATAATCTTCCTAAATTGCTAAAAGGTAAGATAGGCACGAAATATTTCCGGGTCGATCCGAAAATTATTGGGTTTACCAAGAATCAAACAAAGTTTAATTATTTAGTTAATCATGGCTAATCTACCCAACCAAATGAGGCCTTATTATATATAACACATAACGACAAATAATCATATGGATCTCGATTTATCATTATTACCACTAGAACGAGCATATTTTTTGGCTAAGATGATTGAACTTTAAAAGGGAACTATGAACTCGAGCGATCGAGCCTTGAGGGACATCACATCAACTGATTTTACCTAAGATACATAAACCACTTCTCAATAGTTTAAAATTTCTGATGCAACTGTGAAGTTGATCAAATTGATGATTTATATTAAACACTTCTGTGAACATACATGATTGCACTTAGCATTAATTCATGTAGATCTTGGTTGGGCCCTACCTAATAATGTAGCAGACCATGCAGATAGCTAATAAATTCCTTAAGAGAATCATTTAGCAACATTTAGCGAAAGTAAAAAAATTACCAACAATTCCAGATATAGCTGCATGAGGCTCCTTGAGACGAATATCATACGTGGGACGCCAAAAATGCCCTTTCTCTGTTTCTACAAAAGCATCCTCCTTTGTTTCTTGTTGTCTCCATAAGTCTCTCGACATTTGATAAGAAAAGGCAGCTTTCGCACACAGTCCAGGCAGCAAAGCAAGGGGTGGTTCAGCTGCATTAGTGGAATCAACAGCCTGTGGAAGGCCGCTGCTTTTATGTATCCCAAAACGGTAACGCAATCCCGACTCACAGATGAGGGATGAACAGTCCAAAGAGATAGATTCCGGAACTTCCCAATATTTTCCTTTACGATCTCTGAAAAGCTCAGGCCATGCAGCTTCTAATGTAATATCATGATCTTGAAGCTGCATGTGAAGATAAAATTTTCAGACAAAGATTTAGTTGAAACAGACCAAATAGACAATACCCAAGCACGTGATAGGTAGCATCAGAACTTTAATAATATTACAGAAATAGCTTGCTGAAGATATCTTGTGTCCACGCGGGCCCTATTTTTCTTCTGTTCATGAATTTTGCTAACTTGTGTTAACTTTAGAACAGCTTCATCGTTTTTTTTTTATTTTATGAGCACACATTCTTGAACAGGGAAATTCTTTCATTAGCTTTATCTGATGGACTCATTACGTAGAACATAGAAAACCTAGCCATTTTGCTCCGAACATGCATTAATGTTAAATGATATATTCATTACTACTGTGATACGCATCTGCCGCAATTTCCTATACCTACACATTCTATTCAAAAACACACTCTACTGAGTTGACATTAGAGCTATAGTGACATTTAAAGTTATTTCTGAAACTAAGCTTTAGCAGGAAGAATCAGTATTAACATGAAGCTGTAGGATTGAAATGATCAAGACAAGGAAAAACTCAACTAACTCAAGCCATACTAAAAAAAGAACAGTAAAATTGTGGGGGGAGCAGTGAGCAGTCAAATTGAAGGAAAACCAAAGGCAACGTTGCGAAAGGAGCTAAACAATTGAATTGCAGAATTTGCCTGGTGAAAGAGCATAGCCTTGGTTCGTCGGTTTTTCCTCTCACCGTGCTTTTCAGTGCTCAAAAGTAAGGATGATGAGGGTGTTAATGCTATCTGTGAGCATAGTCCTAACGCATAGAGTGATTTGTCCACGATTTGTTTTGCGACATCTTTAACCAAAGGTAGGTCCCATTCATCGGAAGTAGCAATCTCAGCTTTAATGGATGATATCAATTTCTTCGGACGAAATTGCCCGATTAATCCAACCCACCTAAATAAAAAAAACGTCGTGATTCAATGCTATTACATGAGTAGAAACGAGTTTTCAATTTTAATATCCACATGAATGATCACTGTACATAAGTATACATAACAAGACTGGTGGAGGCATACTCGATGCATGTGCAGACAAAACAATTTCGATGATTGAAATGCCGTTTCGGTATAATTAAATCACGCTAATCAAAATTGACAAGTTTAGTCAACAATGTATAATCAAAAATCATAATTAATCAACACTGCTGCAAATTGTAGAATACGTTCACTCTGCACCGAAACCATTTTCTGTGAAGATAAATCTAACGAATAAAGCAACACATCCACGCTAAGCTCAATTAGATTCAATAATAATAGCATAAACAATGTCGAATCATTATCTTCTATAAACTAACATACTAAAATAGGAAACCACAACATTTGCTGCTTCAATTGATGAATCTAACTGCTGTAATATATGATTTTCAACATTATAAAATTCCTCTGAAATTAGAAAACCCTAATAAACCAAAATTAAAGAGAAATACCAGTTTCCGACAACGGCTTTGCCGAGGAGAGACTGCAGCGCAAAAGAGCCAAGCTCCTTGTGATTCGCCGAAGGAGAAAAAGACGGAATGATTCCCAAAGGAAAACCGTTTCCCAACAGAGACAGCTGCTGAATTCTTAGGGCTTTACTCGCTCTGCCGCCGTCGATGGGTATGGGATCGCCGGGAACCGCCTTGGAAGCACCGTCGAGAGCTTGCGGAGTGGATATGTTCATGTCCCAAAATGCTGCGTCCATCGCCGTTCTCAGATTCGCCATTTTTCCCGGCCAAAAACTCCGGCCGGCGAACGGTTGCCTTTTTGGGGTTTTATCTCCTTCAATGTGAGGAAAGAGGGTTTGGTGTGGTTCCTTATCTGTGACTGGGACTGCAACTTTTGGAAGGGGAACAGAGGTTTTGTTTGGGTTTAAAAGTTTGTATTTATTGCTATTTAACCCCGCTACTTTTTACTCTTGTCCTTTTAACCCATTGAAAAAGTTCAAATGGTCTATGGAGTAGACATGGCCACGGGTCGGGTCTGACCCGGACCCGGCCCGGACCCGACCCATTGACTGCCCCGCCCCGCCCCGGCCCCGACCCGTTGACCATGGACCCGGCCAAGTATGGGTCGGTTTCGGGTCCCGACTTCTTGGACCCGAGACCCGCCGGGTCTACCCGCCGGACCCGAGGGCCCGGCCCGAGGACCCGTCGGGTCCACCCGGATTTCTGATGAAATAATCACCAAAAATGCGCTTCTGGGTTTCGAACCCGGGTAACCCGAGTGGATTAGTGAGCACTAACCACTCGGGCAAAGTAACTTATTGCAATATTAATCTTAACTATAAATATATAATTATAAATAATACTATAAAATAATTATAACAATTGAATAACTAATGTTAATAAATTATTAATTGTCAGGTTCGTTATCTTTAATATTAAAAATCTCACCTAATAACAAATACATATATATTTAAAAATCTCCCCTAATAACAAATGCATATATAAATAATTACGATTTAATTTAAAAGAAAGATTGAATTTTGAAATTTTTTTTAGTTTTGAAATTATGAAACATTTCTCATATTAATTATTATTAAATAATTTTAATTAAATAATTAACAAATGCAATATAAGAAACTTTTAAAAAAATATATAGAATCACGGTTCAATACATCAAAACATCTATTATTAATTACTATATCAATATAATCTCCACTATTGAAAAATATAAAGTATTGAATCAATTCAATATATAAACAAATGCGTTGACTTATTACAAATTAACTTATGTTATTAAAATCGATAGTGTGAAAAAATCGATTGAAAAATAAAATAATATGTTTATTTAAAAAAATAGATTATAACTCATTTCAATTAATTTAAATCGATTTACCTCAATTATTGACAAGAACTTATTAATATTATTGAGGATTTTATTATAAGATAATTATTTAAAAATATCAATGATGTTTGTTTTAACAAAAATAGATTATATCTCATTTCAATTAATATTCTTACTTTAAAAATAACATTATATATGACTAGTATAATCAAAATATTATAATGTGCTTTAAATAATTGGTTTAGTTTGTAAAAATCGTAAGAATTAAATCGTAGATCATATGATTTAATCTTTTTTTTTTACATTTACATTTTATTCAAATATTAGAATCGAATCGAATCGTAAGATTTAAATGGATTAATCTAAAGTCCTTTTAATTTTGATATTATATTTGTTAATAATGTAATTAAAATTATTTAATAATTATGGATATGATAATTAACAATCCATTTAACATTATTTATTAAATCATTTTATACTGTGTTTATATGGTATATTTATATTTCTTGCAAGTAATTTACCAAATGTTTATCTTGTCACAGTGGTTCGGATTCCTTTTCAAGTGCGTTACAACCCAGGTTCGAACCCCATTTGAAGCATATTTTGGAAAAAGTTTCAAAATCCGGTTCGGACCCGGTCCGACCCGGAACCGACCCGGACCCGGGTGGACCCGAGTGGACCCGCCCCGGACCCGGACCCGCCTCCCCGCGGGTCGGTTTCGGGTCCTCCAAAACTCGGACCCGGACCCGGCGGGTCCGACCCGGACCCGGACCCGACCCGACCCGGGGCCGTGTCTACTATGGAGTATGGACTATGTGGTTAATTGGAAAACACCAACTTTTCCCACTATAACATTTTTAAACCATATATAATTACTCAACTATAGAACCATGTATATATATTTGATTTGAGATTGTATAGTATTACTAATTGGTAACATGTGTTTGGCAACAATTGTCCACGCGAGGGAGATTTGGGTATATGTGGCCCATAATTGAATGATATTGGTACTTATGTCATGTGTTGAGTATATTATAATGTTATGATTTGCGTCTTTTCTGACACTAATTGGTTTTAGAACAACTGATAGCGTCTGAGATCATAAACTAATTAATACTAACTGTTGGCCTGCAGTATAATCAAATAATTTGCTTTTCACCTCGAAAGTCTGTTGTAAGTGCGTGTATAGGTCGTGACGTGTGACGCGTTCGAATGTTTTTGTTAGACGATAAATTAGATGGAATGTCGTTTGCTCGTAGAATTTATAAGGCTAAACATTATTTAAACATGACTACATACCAATATAATCATATTGTCAATATCAAATGGGACCTAAAAATGTAATATTCACATTTTATATGTAATTATATGTAATTGAGTATATCTCTTTTATGGGCTTTTGACAATGCGTATAAGCAAGAGTTGAAAGGAAACCAAATTTTCAACAAGTGATGCAAGTCTAGGTCATGGGATTTGGATAATTATTTATGCTTGCTTGATCAAAAAAATCAAATTAAAATAATGGGATTAAATTAAAAAGTCAATGACAATTCTTAAAGCATTGCCTTGGTTTAGGATAAGCTTTAAGTTGCATGTAGCATATCATAGGGTAGGGGTGTAAATGAGTCGAGTCAGCTCAAAACAAACTCAAACTCAAACTCGAAATTCTCAAGGCGGTTAACTAATGCCATGCTTCAAATGCCCTATAAAAACTTGTGAATGAAAGATCAAATGTTTATTATTTGTATTTAAGCCATTAATTAATGAGGTTGAGGTGTGGTAATCTCAACAATTATGCACCTTGTAAAGAGATTAAACATTCTTGAAATAATGTGATTCTCGTTGTATGTATAAGTCGATTACCATTGATTTGCCAAAAGTACCGAATACGAAAAGAAATGAAAAAGTTACTCTATTCGTTTCAAATTAGCTGCGTTTAAGATTTCAACATACATATTCAGAAAACTAATAAAATAATATGAAATAACGTATAAAATAATAAGAGCACAATTGAAAACGAGTAACTGATTTATTATTGGAACTGACAATTAATTTGAAATGAAATGAGTATTTGTTACGTTGTGTACTGAACACGGAACACGGAACAATATATTAGTGGCACAATATGAGTTATAATGAAGACATTATTTTCTAATTATATTCATGAAAAATAAAATCATATTTTTATGTGAAAGAAGTTGAATTTTTAATTTTTTTTAGATGATTTAATTGAAAAAAAAAAGCATATAGCCATGCTTATTTCTTGACTATTCACAAATAATAGGGATGGCCAACTCCATAAATATGTTTAAGCTTGAAAAAGAAACTCTTTTATGTGGTTGGTTAGATTACCCATTCCTTCTCCAAAGCCCATCCCTCTTTTCTTGGGCTTTTCATTTATTGTATCACGACTTCTAACAAAGGGACTAATAGGGGTAAATTACATAAATACCCCCCGAACTAAGCTAAATAACGAAAAACACCTCCATCTATTCGTAGTTATCGAAACTCCCTCGACGTTTGTTTCCATCTTACACTGACTTCCTTGTAGTGTGATTTTTTCACGTAATTTTTTTTATTCCAGGGAATATTTCCCATAAAATATGGATCTTACCCGACAAATGTGACATTTCTTTATGCTAACTTTTAAAGGTAAGGGACCTTTATACGTAATTTTTATTATTCTTGAATAACATCTTCACAAAATTTTAGTACTATTGTTACTACTCTGAAGGTAATTTTTGTCTTTAAAAAGTAGCTTAAATAAATGTCACGTCTGACGGGGTAAAATTAGTATTTTTCGAGAAATATTACATGTAATAAAAAAGATTCTTTGAAAAATCACACATTCGGTGTAAGATGTAAACAAAGATGGGGGGATTTTAATAATTTCAGATAGGTGGGGGTGTTTTGTGTAATTCAGCCTAACTTCAGGGAGATTTTCGTAATTTACCCTAAAATTTAAAAATAAAATTAAGAATTATTATTAAGTCCCTCTCTCTCTCTCTCTCTCTCTCTCTCTCTCTCTCTCTCTCTCTCTCACACACACACACACACACACACACACACAAACACACTTATTAGTGGCCTAGTGCACAATTACTCAGATATTACCAATGCTAATTACAATTTAACAGCTTTCACTTACCTGTTAATCACTCGAAACTAACTGATAGTTTCATATTTTTCTGTCTGTAAACCCTTGTCGTAATCCAAACAATCTTCTCAACAACAAGATTTCACCAAATTAAATATATTTCTATAATCACTTAATAATAATCATAATCATCTAATTTGTTCTACGCTACACCAGATAAACTTCACCAGAGTATATCATACCATACACATATATAAATTCATACATATAACACTCAAATTCATGCGTGCATACACATTTATTACGTTTAAATCAAACCCGACGTATTTCACCCGATGTATGATCATCAGTGCAAGCACAAAGTAAATGACAAGTCTCAAATTAAGAAAAGTTGCTAATCAGTCCTTATCATATGTCTTTTCTTCTTATTACCCCCTATTTTTCTCACCTTAAAAGCCAATCAAAATGCTAAAAGAAAAACATTATTCTAATCTCAAATTAATTTAATCACAAATCCATCTCTATATATATATATATATACACAAACCATCTCCAATACCAATATTCACACATCACAAAACAAGAAAAAAAAAAAAAAGAGAAAAAAAGAATGAATCCACTACCCTTCTTGATCATCTTGTTCATAACCACAATCCAATCCACATCAGCACAAACCCTAATCAACACAACCTGCAAAACCGCCTCGAATGACGATCCGAACATACCCTACGCCTTCTGCACCACCTCCCTCCTGGCGGCACCCGCCAGCCGCTGCGCCGCCCTACAAGGCCTAGGCTCGATCTCGATCCGGCTCATTCGGTACAACGTGACCGACACGAGGTGCTTCATCAAGCAACTGATCAAGGACAAGAAGTGGGACCCGTACCAAAGGCAGTGTTTGGACGACTGCTTTCAGCTTTTCACCGACGCAATAGATTCCGTCAAACAGGCCATGAGGTACTACAATGCGAAAAAGTTCGACGATGCTAATGTGCAGATAAGCTCGATTATGGACGCTGCTAATACGTGTGAGGATGGGTTTAAGGAGAGGAAGGGTTTGGTTTCGCCTCTGACGAAGCGAAACGTGGATGTTTTTCAGTTATCGGCTGTTGCCCTTTCAGTTATGAAGATCGTTCAGACACGATCGGGGCTAATTTAGTCTTTTCACTTCCTGATTCTTTGATGTCTTTTTTTTTTCTTGCTGTAATTGTTTTTTTTCTTATTTTTCCTTCATGTGAATAGTGTTTTGGGTTTCGGGTTTTCGGGGTTTTTTTATGGCTTTATTTTGTGTAGTATTGTTGTTTTCTTTGGTGGTGTAAGTTTTTATTAGTGTTTTGTTGGATGGGAAGTTTGTTACATTTGGAACTTTAAAATGTTTAAATTAAATTCAATTAATTGATGTTAAAAATAGTAACATAAATTCAATTAGTAGAAGATAGTTTGAAATTTAATCTTGCTGCTTTCATAATGACTGCAATTTCATTGTCTAGTACTTCATTGCTATTAGTGTGACTTGAAGTTCAATACACCCTTTCCTTTGGAAAAAAGTTTTGATGGTTTTTTATGCCCTTAAATTATGGCCAACCTCCTAAGTTATGGTCAAATTACGAAAAGCCCCCTCCTATTTGGGTAAGTACAATCACCCCCTCAGGCCTCAACTATGCATTATCTTACGAAAATACCCCTCCATAGGTAAATTTAGAGATGTAAAATCGGTAAAACCGAACCAAAATTTTGCTACACCAATATTTTATACCGTTTAGCGAACTGAATATACGATTTTGTTCGGTTAATAACCGAATTACATAAATTTTATGTAAAAATATTTAAAAGGAGGGGTGGCTGTAACTACCCAAACAATAGAGTGTTTTTTTGTAATTTGGCCATGCCTCGGGGGTGGCAGTAATTTGCCCTAAAATAAAATAGAGACATAGGAATATAGATATTACGAAGCATAATTTTCAATCAAAGAAAAAAAGAGGAAATTTTCGAATATCTATGGAAATTATAACTCGGTTAGAAATCTCAATTTTCGAAATGAAAAAAAAAAAAACAATTGTTCCAAAATCAGAAATTTTTGGATTCAAACCTGCGAAATTTCAAAATTTTATTCGAACTTTCATTCACAACTATAGGGCTTATTAAAGAACTGTGATTACAATCAAGCACACGAAGGATGATATTACTCGAATTGTATAATCACAAACCCCAAACATAAGATAATCACATATTAAATCATCAAGGATAATATAATCTTAACGAATCCAATCAATCTTGTCGATCCCATCAACATTCTCAAAC